TTTTTTACATATTCGGAATCAGCATCAAAAACTGAGTCGAATCACGTATGTTTCGAATCTTTTCACGAACTTTTTTTTTTCATCGAAAAATTCAACCCTGGTCTTCCTGAGGGTAGATCAAAAAATAAAGTCAGTCAACCTACCCCTCATGGGGACCAGGGCTGAATTTTTCGATGAAAAAAAAAGTTCGTGAAAAGATTCGAAACATACGTGATTCGACTCAGTTTTTGATGCTGATTCCGAATATGTAAAAAAAATCAATAGACTGCTATAGACGTTTTCAGAAATCTAGCGTGGTTTTCCAGAAATCCTCTAAAAAATCTATCTTCAAAATTTTTCTCAGAAAAGATTTTGCTTATGAAAATATGCTCCTGGGTCTTGACTACCAAACGCTGAAAACCGCAGGTCTCTATCTTGTTCCTATCAAAAGTTATTCAAAAAACATCCGACTGCCTTGAATTCTGGCGCCGATAGTAGTTTCATTGATAGAAGAAATTTTCAGATATGGAATAATCATTATTTCAAAAAGACTCTACAGAATGTATAATATGACAGTTGAGCTGGTGTATGTTTTAATAAATATATCAATTGAAAAATGAAATTAGAAATAGAATTGCAAAAGAAAAAAAGATTTTTGAAATTTACAATAAAAATTTTTGAATTTTACTTTTTCATTATGTCAAAAGAATAAATAAGGCTTATACTCGATCCAACTCGGCTTCATTTGATGATTTCTCAGTTCGACTCTAATTGCAATGATTCATAATCATACTTAATATAGAAGAGAATAACTTGCTGAATAAAGAATAACCAAAAATATAAGTATTTATATAACGCACGGACACGTAAAATATATATCGGAAAAAAAAACTACATTGTTTTTTTTAATAGCGTTGTCGCATTGAATTTCAAATTGTAAACTTTTATAATTAAGTACATGTGCATACCGTATTGTTCGTTTTTTTTTTATGTGTCTTAAAACAGATCGTTGGTACATCATTTCGTTGCAGCGAATATCGTTTTCAAAAAAAGAAATGAATTTGACTGATTTTTGAATAACTTTTGATAGGAACAATATAGATACATGAGGTTTTCACCATTCAAGAGAGAAGATCTTGAACTATCTATCTATACTAGAATCTAATTGATCTACAAATGACTATATCAAGTGAGTTCTCTGTGATGATTTTGGAAAAGATGTTCTGAAGTCATTTCTATATTAGATTTTGACTTGAAATACAATCAATCTATAGGAGAAATTCTTCTTTTTTTTTTCGTTCTGCGTAAACACCAACTTTCTAGCATTATCCGCATAAGAGTTTTTCCGATACTCTCGATTTCATCAAAACTGCTCAAGATATGGGCAAATCATCATACTGAGTCGAATGGTAATGTTTGTTTTCAAAGTGTCTTGAGAACATTATTTCAGTACTTTTGAAATGTTAAAAGTTTTGAAAAATTGATCTCAAGTCACTTTGAAACTAAATACAAACATCACTATTCGACCCAGAATGCTGAATTACTCATGACTCGTGCTCTTTTAAAATCTTACAAAATCAATATGATGAGATTGTCTCTAAAGTCAAAAGGTACTGTGAATTCTTTAAACGATTAATCATAAAGATCTGTAAGAATCGAATTGAAAAGACATGTAAATAAGACGTTCACACTTATTGCTATTCTACGATGCATAAATAGATCATTGAATTATCAATGAACCAGTCAATATCGAACTTTCTCTTTGATAAGTTTACTTTTATGTAGACTAATATATTATTTCATTCTATTATGTATTTACCGGTTCCCCAGCCCATTGTATTGATTAAAATCATAGATCGTTTTTGATTTTCATTCTTTTGATCTATATTCCACAATTGTCTTAATTTATTAACATATTGTAAATAACGTACAGGTGATGTTTGTGGTGAAACAAGACCATAATAAAGAAGACGATCAGGTTTTGAATTTGATTTTATATGAGAACAAGGTGGACCTAATAATGGTGAATCAAGATTAACATAAGATAAACATCCACCTATACTAAATTCACATTGACCTATATCACAATCAAAATAAGTTAAATTATATTTTGAATTGATATGATCAAGAGCACGATTAGTAAGATAACGAATAAATGTTGATTTGCCCATATCTTTTTCACCACAAACTAAAACTACAAATGGAAAATCTATAAAAAAAAAGAAATTTCAATGATAAATTCCTATTCAAAATAATAATCATCTACCTTCTACAGTTTCATTTAACCATCGATTAATAATATGATCAGCAGTTGAAACAAATTCTTGACGAGGAATAATAGAAGTTTTATCGGTTGTTTCAATTAAACGAATATAAAGATTTTGTTCTAATTGTTTCCATTTATCTTGTTCAAATAAATTATAACTTTCTAAAAACCAATTTTTATAAGATCGATGTTCTCGCATTATTTTAATAAATAATGATTCATTATTTGGTTCTTGTCGTATTAAAAGTATATCACCACCTTTTTTTTCAACATTAAAAAGAGCATTGCCAGCTAATTGAACATCACTAATAAGAGATTTTATATCTGACAATGAAATTGTTGTTTTTGAATTAATAAATTCAATTGCAAGTGGACTGTTGGTACTATAATTATAGACTGAATAAAATTTTAATGGAGGAAGAGTATATCCATGAATACGAACACGACCAAATAATGAACAAATTTGAAAACTTTGTAAAAATGTTAAATGTGAATCAAGAAAATGTATAACATATGTTGGAGGTTCAGAAAATGAACCAAGAATCATTGAATAACGAGGTAACCAGTAAGAAATCTTGTCCTCCTAAAATACAAAATGAAAATTTTTCGGTTTATTTTCTTTTTTATTCATAAGAAAATACTGATTAAACTCAAATAAAATCTTATCGCCATTAATTATATATAACAAGATTATATGAAATATTATTTGTTTATCAACTTAATATATTCTTGAACAATATTTTAGAAAATTTAAAGGTAATGTGAGCTTTTCAGTCTCAGACATGATTTATTTTCTATCAAAAAACAATTTTTTTTAAATAGAAATATTAGCGTCTTGTACTCCAAAAATAAAATTAAAGAAAAAAAAAGACCATTTGAAATGAAAAATCTCTGAGTGACATCCTCATCCTAAACTTCTGTAAAAAAAAAAAAACTTTTTATTTTAAAAATTGATCAATGGTACATCACTCAATGCAGTTTCTCGTGCTGATTTTTTCGGTCAAAATACTTCTATGACAAAGAAATCGCGAAAAATTTAACCTTTTAGAAAGCCTGGAATTCAATTCAGAAGTATTCATACTAACTGAATGTATGCTATAGATATAAAAGAATATTACCTGAAAGTTTCGTCGATATCGAGTTAATGGAAAATTGAAGGCATCTTTTCGGAAAACGCTTAGTATAAAAATAATAATAACTCTTTTAGAACGAAAATTTTTCTTATAAATCGATAGAATGGAAGTTCTAGTTTCCTACTAGTTTTTATCAAAATTCTGATCGTTAATGGAAGTCTACATTATGAGACAAAAAAATAATTCACTAACGGAAAGATTGGAATAAATATTATTTTAATATAGAGTCCTGAAAAGTGTAAGATCTTGAAAAACATCAAAACTGTTATATTAGCATAGAAAAAAATATTGAATTTATCATTGGAAAAATTCAACTTTAGAACTTACCATTATTTTCTTCAAAGCAATCGAAACCGTCTACTGGAATAATACTCAAGTTTGCAGGAAACTTTCTAAAGTGATCAAGACAATAGAAGTTCGGTATTGATCTCTACACCATGAGAAAATTCCCAAGTTTTTGATATATCACCGAGCAATTTCCAGATGATTTCAATCACGAATAATGCGCAAGAGAACAAATTTTCAATTATCTACAGAACATCTACAAATCGAAAAAAGGTATAATATTCAGAAATTTCTGTAAAAGATGTTTCACGAGAATATTTCATGCAATGCATAGACTAATATTCAGTAGCTATTATGAATCTGTTAGCAAGCTTGAGTAGATACAAAAAAATTACTGTATATATATATACTTAATAGATATCGATGTATTTTTCTATAGAGAGTGAGAATCTACTCTTCAAAACATGCGTCACTCTAGTAATTTCTTATAAGTCTCTGAAATTACAAGGAAATTTCAATAAATACTGAAATTATGACATTTTTTTTTCTATATAGATGTCACTGTACATGATTAATGGGAAAAAGACCGTTGTCTAAAGTGCAGATAATTTTCATAAGTTTTCAGTAATTATTCAAATTACTCATAATATGGAAGATAAGATTTTAGTTATCACAGAAAATTAGATTGATATCTATATGGAAAAAATATTTATTTACTGAAATTTTTTCAATAGGTTCGAAAAACTTTTAGAAAAGCTCAATGTTAAGTGGAAATTCGTTCTATATGTTTCGGTATTTTTAGAAGTTTCATAATGATATTTTTATAGTTTTTGAAGAAAACGAGAAATTTCCTATTGGAAGAATAGTAATTATCAAAATCATCTGGAAATAACTTCATAGTGCTTGAGTCATTTCACTTAGATATTTCACAATTGTATTTCAAAAATTTTCGTAATTTTTTTATTAACTTGCTGTTGCTTTATGACAGTTTAAGGTAAATATTTTGATATTTCAAAAGTTATTAATAAGCTTTGATATCTCGTTCTTGAATAAATTCTTTTGTTGTGTCAGACTCATTTCCCAGTGTGCATTAGTAACAAAATACGAAAATGAAAGACAATGAGCGAATAGCAGCATTGGCGGGCTGGACCATAATTTTCAGGGGGGGGGGGGGGCAATAAGCACTTTTTCGCTTAAAAACGCTTGTTTTCATGGCATTCTTTTTAAGTCCCAGCCAAAAAAAAATTTTTAGGGGGGAGGGCAATTGCCCCCTCTCGCTCCTATGCCGGCCCGCCCATGAATAGCAGCAAGACAACCAACCAATAGAGTGTTAGTAACAAAAATTCTGTTAGAAACTGGATTGCCATCTTTTCCGGTTTACTTTTTTTTATAAGAAAAATTTGGGACAATAACATCTATTAATATTAAATAAGTTGAGATAGCTGTCGTCTACAGTCTATTATTATCTATATGATTTGATATATTTTGTATGAGTATAATAAGGCTAAAGAGACATATAGGAGTTCCATATGTTGAGCACGAAAGAGGTTGTAATGTCAAGTTTCGCTTTTCAAATTTGATTTTGACAAAGAAAGAGAATTCAAAAAATTTGAAATTTCTCGGGTGATAGATTAAAAAAAAATACCCTCCTAAAAGCAGAGCAAATCTTGCCGTACAACGCGCTGATCCAATGTTGTTGTTTGTTGATGATTTTCCGATCGAGATGACGAACGTCGGACCATTTTTGCACAAGATTCTTGATATAATTTATCATCATTGTTAGTTAATTTTTGATCTATTGAAGAAAATGAACGCTTCATTAATCAATTTTTCATTATCTAAAAAATATTTAGATCTAAATAATTGAATAAAATATTATATTTAGAGATTAAAAATTTCAATTCGTTTCGGTTCATTACTATAACTGACAACAATTTTTCGTTGTTGATCATTATTTATTATTAAACATGCACTATGAACATCTTTATCAATTTGTTTTAATATTAAATCATTGACATACCATAATGAATGAGTTGTTCTTTCTGTTAATAGCCATGTTTTATCATTATCATCAGGTAAAACTAAAAGACGACAACCAAAACCTATTTTATCAATTTCTTGTGAAATATTTAATTTTTGACCACGATTAATTAATTGTAGATTAAGATTAAATAAATCAATACGCCAATATTTATCTTGTTGAAGTATAACAATAGCTAATTGAGGTTTATTTGTACACATTCGAATCATTCGAATACCTTTATCAGAATCTTCTATAATTTCTTTAATAGTCCAACGTTTAATTAATTTCCAATTTGGATGTGTTTCTATTGACCATCGTTCAATATAACCATTACTATCTAAACTAAGATAAGCATCATTTGTTTTTGATGAAACAGTTATTGACCAAAATGGATGTTCATCAATGGGTTTTATTTCAGATATGATTGTAAAAATCATTTGTTGAGGATTATAGATAAGAATTACTTGTCTACAGACAACAAGAAAACAATAATTGAGTGTTTCAGCATAGATTATATCACAAACATTACCAAATCGAACATCAAGTTCAGTAGAACAAAGTTCAGTACCATCCAAAGTATTATAGAGAATAAGACGATTTTCATTTCGATTAATACTTAAAATATAAGCTAATATATGTGTATGAGATGCAGCAAGAAAAAAACAATTTCGATCGTGTAATGAAATAATTTGTCGTTCGAATAATAATTGTGAATTATTTAAATAGGATATGACAGATTTTTCTTGTTGTTTAAGATGATTTAATCGAGACCAATCGATATTATCAATTTGATTTAATTGAAGAAGAATATTAATTTGATGAATTTCTTGTTTAAATTGTTCTAATTTAACTAATAATTGTTCGATATCGTTTTCAAAAAAAGTATCATTTTCACGTATTTCAGCTAATTCTTTTGTAAATTCATCATATCGTACTTTTATTTCATTCAATTGTCTAGTAAATTCAACTCGAACATTATCACGATTTTGTTCAGCAACTTGATGTCTGATAGTAATAAATCATATTATCAATTTTATAGAATTCGACTTTTTATAAAATACTACAAATATCTTGAGTCCACACATCATATAACTAATATGATTTGTTAAAGACTTTTGTGCATAAGTGAAGTAGAAATATCCTGAGGCCTTCAAGATTTGGAGGGTCATCTCCTCGAGCTGCTTCAGTCCTCCCCGTCGTTCTGAATACTCCTGCATAGGAGAATGGTTATTTGAACTGATACCTGCTGTTATCTATTAAAACTTACAGAATATTCGCAGAATTATTAGACTTATCTATGAGCAAAATTTTTCGGTAAAAACCTAAAGCTGAATCGAAAATATAGTGAAATAATCATAACCCGGTTCTAGTTGCAAATGAGCGCAAACAGCGAGTGTCAGTTCGAGTAGTTTCATCATCATCATTATGTAATTTAATAACGATGAAAATCATTGTTTGTTGTTAATGTTATACTGTCAAATAATTAATATTCATTATTATACTCACACTGATTCATGCATTTTCGTTTCCCATTCATTGATATTTTGTAAGAATTTTTCAATATTTTCATTAGTAAAATTTACATTTTTAAATATTAATTCAAATAATTCATCTCGTTGGATAATAACTGAATCAAGTTTTTCTAAAAGTTCTTCTCTATGTTTCGTAAGATGTATTAAACAGAATGATAATTGACATCCATGACATGGATGAATACCCATTTTTGGTTTCATCATATTTTCATTTTCACATATTGAACATATTTTAAATGATGAATTATTCATCTGAAAAATAAAATTTTTAATACATAGGATTTTAATGATAATCGGAACATAAATATTTTTGTCTCAAGATTTAAATAAATACGTATATTCGTTGTTTTATTCTATAAAATATTCTATTGGAAGATACATGATAAAATTCAAATTTCTATCAACATAAGATGTCACTACTTTCCACATAAAGTCTGATTCTCTCCCTTTCATTTAACGATAGTATTTATTAAAATATAGAATTTTAGCAGCAAAAATGAATTCATGTTGAAATCATTAAAATTTTATTTGTTTTATTATCAGAAAAAATTTCAACATTAAGATTAGAGTACATCATTTGTCATATTTTATATATGAACTTTTGTTTTTTTTTGCCGAAGCATCGTTGTGTGAAATAAGTTTTTTTATTATCGAGTTGTTTGCATGATAGTTGAAGTGATCTACAATGGATCGTTACTTCATTTGTACTACATGTTAATTAATCTTTCGTTATTGCTAGAATTAAATATGTAAGAATCTCGTCAATAAACATGTATTACATTTTATTTTTTCAGTAAATCTTAAACTGTATTCAAATATCAAACATTTTTATACTACAATGATGTTAAGCTACAATCACATGGACATGAAATGCCGCGAGTATGAGAGATTTGCATAACAAATCTACTGAAAGAATAACAGATCGGGTAGGATATAGTTATTCGGTATAGTATGACAAAATTTTTAATAGGATTCTTTTTATGACATATCAATCAAAATAAAATCGGAAATAACAAAAAGAGAGTAAATCGGATGAAGATTGGAATCATAGATGTATGTACTGGGAAGTCACCGCTCTGACCACTGAATCATCCAATGTTGTTAGGTAGATGTAAACATTTTAGAATCGTGACTATCAATATAAACTGATCCTACTATGTTTAGAGTGCATTCACTAAGGAATGAATTCATGTTAGAAAGTTGCATGCAGAAGAATGCTAATAGAGACATAGGTCTCTAGAATAGGGGTGTCAGATTAGCATTAGTGTTAAGAAAACGCTAATACTTTTGTATTAAAGTTAAAAAATTAACTTAATGCTTTTGCATTAGTGTTAAGAAAATAATTTAATGCTATGGTATTAGTATTAGAAAAGTATTAATCTAATGGTAATGCTTAGGGTTCCCAAGAATAGAACAATTTTGTTCTGTTCTTGGGAACTATAAGCATTACCGTTAAGTTAATACTTTTCTAATACTAATACCAAAGCATTGAATTATTTTTTTAACATTAATGCAAAAGCATTATGTTAATTTTTTAATTTTAATGCAAAAGCGTTAGCGTTTTCTTAACACTAATACCAAGCCGACACCCCTACTCTAGAAGAGAGTCACCCAGAAATGACTATATGTTTTGTCCTGTGATACGACAATGTTTTAAGAAGATATACTTTCATAATATATGATATAGAAAAAAAACATATATCCCGAAACTTTAAAAACATTCCATAAGCCTAAAAAAAAAGAAGTCCTGGTTGCTCCTCGGCAGAAATAGGATGCTCTCGTTTCTTTTTGTGTACTCAAAAAGTGAGTACACTCTAGAATCGGTCAGTGTGTCCGTCCGTCCGGCCGTTAACACGATAACTTTTGAAAGGAGAGTCCAATCGCGATGAAATTTTCTACACAGTTCAGTCTTAACAATGTCTCGGTCGAGTTCGAAGATGAGCAGGATCCGTCAAGNTAGGTGATAAAAAGATGAGATAAGATGAGATCAGAAAAAATGATTTTTTCGCAGCGTCGAAAATTGGTCGCACACAATTTTGCTTCTTTTGAAAACAAAAAGTACAAAATTAAAATAAGCTTTACTTTGCACATTGTAGTTCTTTTCACGCTGCATCTCCTGGTATATTTTGTTTTTCTAAAACAACTTATTAAGTGATGCAAAAATGAAATGGAAAAAGGCCGTTTTTTTTTGTCCGAGGGAGAATCGATTATATTTATCTAAACCTATTTATTCAAATATATTTTCTTCATTTTAAAAGTTATTCTCGTATACCAGCAAAAAGTTCGTTATTGAGCATAATCAAAAATGTTAATAAAACAAAAAATTGATACACCACAATATCGAAGATTATTAACACTATCTTTACTTAAATTAGCTGAATTATTTCAAACAAATCAATATGAATTACGTGTAACTGATGGTGTTGTACGTAATATATTAATGGGTACTTATCCACATGATATTTTTCCAATCTCGAGAATGAATTCGCTTATTTGATAAAGCATATATATTATGTTGTAGAAAACATCTTGAGTTGATCGTTAGATTGGATCAAGATTAAGGAGAAAAATATCATAGAAGATATTCGTCTATTATTTTAGTAGTTGAGATTTTTATTATTACATAATTGATATATGCATAATGGGTTATGTTTTTGTTGAATATGATATAATACAACATGTTCATTATTAAAGATTTTTCTTTTCCAACAACCATGAAGTTTTTTAATATGGTTTTATGATTGTTACACTTATTTTAATGTTATTTCAGTATTTTAAGTTTTCATTTGTCTGTCTTTTTCTTCTCTCTTCGACGTTGATTATTATAGTTCATAGATCAAAAATATTAGTCTGTTATTTTTTTTGCGAAGAATGTTTTTGTTATAGCTACAAGATGTTCTCTTTTTAGTAATCAATTTTTTTCTTTATATCTTCATATTAATTCTTTCATTTCATACAGTATTTATATTAAATTGTAGAAAAAAAATCTTCAGTTCATGATGAAATTTGGTCAAGGTACATTAGAAAAAAAATCAAGAAATATATTTTTTCAATCATTTTATCAATTCATGTTTTTATATGGCATAAGTGATATCGATGTAATCTTTCATGTCTATATTTATCATGATATAATGCATTGTATTTATTATGAAAGATTTTACACTCAGTTTTTCGACTATTGTCATATTTATTTCAATGTTTTTTTCATCACTGGAATTCATCATTTGTTTAGACGGCGGTCGTGTCTCTTTTGTGTTAATAATGGTCTTTCATGAAGCAAGCATGTTCATGTATTATATTTTGAACAATTTTATTATAATGATCATAAGGATTTTCTCTTCGTTTTAGTAATTGTTTTTCATATTTCGAGGTGGATTGTTTTATTTCATATAGCGTAAGAAGTGATTTTGAGTAAGTGAAAGAAGTTGACAACAGATAAAATAATAACAAATAACATGACATAAATGAGTGAAGTAATTGGTATAGAGAAAACAAATGATATCAATAAGTCTTGGTGGCTTCCCAGATTGTCTTGAGATGATGGTGGATGTGAGTGTGCATCTTCTTTTCAACAACATCCATACACACACCCTAAAATGCTCAGGAGTGCAATACGCGGCCGCACAAAAGCTGCAGATAATTTTTTAGTTTATCCCATTGCGAGTTATGCATCCAATGCACCAATGGTTATGTAAAAAAACGGCACCCCATCTCCTTAGTGCTAACATTCGCCCAGTTTCTTCACTGGCCTATGATAAATTTTTAAAATTCATATAGGTTCATAGACAACCTCCTGTTCTGCCGAGTACAAATGTTCCTTTCGATAGTAGAACTCGTCGAATGACCATTTACAGAAGCGTTCCCGTTTTCCACGAAATCAGCTTTCATAATAAACTTTTCAATTCTATAGAAAATTTCTGGAAAGGCCCTTGCCAAGTCATTTATGCATGATTGATCTACCGGCGTTCTCTGCATCAACCAAAGCTTCACTATGTATATCATAAAAAGCGAATATATGGTCGAAAAATACGTGACTCCAACACACTTCAGCTGCGGCGATAAGACGAAAGCTCTCGAAAGTACCAAGATATTGCCAACATCGAATTCATTTCAAAAGATCGTCTTCTTTCTCTCTGACAACTGAACTTAAAACTTTCACCTCATGGTACGATTTTTAAAGAATCATACATCAAATCCAAAAGAAGTCAACATATATTACAGACCAATAGTTACAAGGAAAACATATCAAAGAACATCCGGGATCCAGTATTTGGGCCTGAATTCCGTTTTTTTGTCCGACGGCCGCTCTTGAAAATAACACCATCCGACACAAAATAAAATTTTGCATCTAACCCAAGCAAGAACAGATACAACCTAAGTCTATGAGTGATATCAGCAGGAAAAACTTGAATCCACTGCTAACTTTCCTTACGTTGAAAAATATATGTTCAATAGTCCTATTATATGTTAGTTAACTGTTTTTATCTATCCTGTACAATAAAGATCAAAATTTGATGTGAAAATTCTTAATTAGTATACTGGAGCAAAGTTTAAAAATACTTTTCTATCACAAACATACTTTGTACTTTTTTTCTGCTTTTCGGACTTTAAATGATGATAGCACTGGCAGTAAGAACATAGGTAACGATCTTCATCCGCTAGTTTGAGATGAAACTGAAGTAGTATATTTTCTCATGGTTCGTATAATGCTAAAATAACTTGAAGCTATCGAATTAATGATAAAGTCTAGGATCAATGTAAAGAAAATCAAAACTATGAAACGATGAACGATTCAGTAATTTGATAACTGATAGATAGACTCAATATTTTTTATTGAATATGCAGAACTATTTAGGTACATAAGTCTCAAAGAGAGTTGAAAGAAAATAAGAAATGGATTTACCCAATAAAAAGTAATCACGATCGATCTTTTCTAATGTTAATACAATAATGAAAAGTAGCATGTTCAAATATTGCCAGATTAATTTATCTCGAGCGAATTTTTCGAAAAGAAAATACTATTTATTGCTCATTTTATTGGATGAGACGATATTTAAATGAGTTCATTTAAAAAAAATTGATTTTTCATTTCTATAAGATCATCAAAATTTTCAATAAGAAAATCTGTAATCATTCGAATTATATATTTCTGGTTTTTTTTTTTTAATAAGAAAAAATCAATCATTAATGGTACTGCAACTTTTTAGTATTAATGTTGTAACTCTTTACATGTCATCGAGAAAAGGTTTGTATTATTATCTTATTGCCATTTACCATATTAGTAATTTTATTCGTTTCATAATTTGATAAAATGCACTGATGATAACTAGTCGACAATGACATATATGAAAACCAAAAGCGATCGCAGTTATGATAAGAAATGTAAGAAAGAGTCCGCCTAAGACATTCAATGAAAACGTTTCACTTTTAGAACCGTCAGCTTCATTGAAATTGCTGGATGATGATGATGAACATGTTCGATGACTCATCCACACATTTTCTAATGATTCTAATTTTTGTGATTCACGTAATGCCAATATATTGACGTCTAAATGCGTCTTGTATAGCCAATTTTTAGGTAAAACAACTGCAAATGATGATTTAACGAAGCCAACACCAGTTACAGTTAATTCATCACAATAATAATTGTTGACAGCATATTCAAGTAGAGACGAATCGCATATGGACGCATCAATTGTATGATCAAGTAATCGTGAATATGTCTCTTCAACTTTAGAAAGAGCATAGTATTTAGTAGAAATATTTCGTATATAATAATCGGAAATCGATGAATTGGTCACAATACCGATACGTGAAAAAGGTAAAAGACCATTTTTGATATCATCGATACCTGAAATAAATGGTTGACCACGATTTAACGTAAGCAAAGATGAAAGATTAGCTGTATATGTTGCGACAAGAATAATACCTAATGCATATAAACCTAAAATTGTTAATCGACTTGAAATCGTTGTTAAACGTAGATCACCATTCATGATTAAAATACTGGTCAATCCATTACATATGCCAATTAAAATTGTCTTTAGTTTAGATTGATTATTTTCCACGTCTCTATTATAATATTCAAAAATATAAATAATAATACTTGAATAAATCATAACTGCAAATATTGCTGCCCATACATCCCAAGTAAATGGATTAAAACATGAGAAAAGACTCAACGATGAAGAATATGGCTTTAGTCGAGTAATGATTCGAAATGTATCTTCACGAAAGGGTGTTGAAAAGTCAACCTTAAGCATACGATCTGAAGTGGCTGCAATATTTGATAAAATAATATCATATTGACGATTATCTTCTGCTAATAATGCCACAAGAGAATGATAATTCGTTGATGTATCAGCTACATTAATTGTGTAAGTAAAATGCATATGTGCTTCAAGTTCACGAATGAAATCAGCAACAAATCCGTAAATAAGAACTTCTGGATCTTCAGTTGTCAGCGGATCAAAACGATGTCTGATTCGTTCAAAATTTTTGGCACTATCTGAGACTGGGTGGTGAGCCGAAGAATTGTGTACTATAACGAATGGAGGTGCTTCAATGACAAGAATTTGCAAATGTTGTTCTAAATATAAGATATAGAAATTATTGGACTCCTTTAAAAAACAATATAAATTTAACTTTATTTTGTATTAAAATAATAAGATAATATATATAACAGTAAGTAATATTGAGAGAAAATTTTATTTAAATAAACCTATTGCAAAATCGGTTGTAAAACCTGACATTGAAACTTGACCATACTTTCGAATATTGATCTGAAACTTTACTTATACAAAGACATTGATTCGATTAACTCACATAGAAAATTTCCAAATTTTCCAAACAAGTTTCTTTAAGATATAAAACTTTCAAAAAACGCATGTTGTGAATATACTCTCTATGAAGAAGAATCTATACCTCAAAAATTTCGTGCCTCCGAGAGACTTCGTTCAAAACTTCTGATATTTTTAATGTAGGCTAGTCTTGTTGGTATTTTTATCTGGTCAAAGTTTCAGATGAAAATTCGAAAGTACAAGGAAGCAATGATTTTAAGCTCTGTAATCGAAATTATATAAGCAAACGTTTTTTCTAATACATATTTTTCATTGAAGCCTATCAGATGCATTAAGTCATGACTCAAAAGTGAAACGAACACCTTGAAATGTTTCGTCGTTAGACAGACATATATTTTTTGTACTAGCGAAAACTCGTGCATACTGCACGGCTGTTTTTTCCTTTAACATATGGCTTGAAACCTTCACTCTTTCACCCGGTACGAGCTATACAGACACTTAACATTATGTATATAGATAGTCCTATGGCGTCATATCCTTACATCTTTAATAGCTTTGTAGCCCATGTAGTTTTTGGGCCTTATAGCTTTAAATCGTTTGTAGCTCTTTTAACCTTACTTCCTTATAGCATTATCCCCTTCTAACAGCACAAACTTTTACTTTTAACCCAACACAGACAGACACACAGACACGCACTGAACATTATATATATACATAGATGATGTTTCGAAACTTCTCATTTTTCTTGACCGTCAGTATTTTTTCTTACTTCTCCTTTCTATTTATACTATGATCATAGTGTTTTTTAACCAAATTATTAACTTTTTCCTAACCTCGAAGTTGTGGATAATCAGTAGGCACTTTTGTGTTGTCACTGTTAGACCAGATGATATAACTATTGTCTTCATCGGTATTATTTGTCCAATTACGAGTTCTTTCATACCATGCCAATACTTTTAAATAGATTGGCTCTTTTTTACCACTTGGATTTTTCAATTGCATCGATTGTATATTGTAGAGTCCATATATGGCACCATGCATATGGTCATTTGAATTGACTTTAGAAAATTGAATACTTCCTGAAACGCCGAAAAAACTAGTATTGCTTAGATACTTAAGGTATTCGTCATGATTTTGTAATGAACTATTAAAACAAGTTAATGATTTCTTCAACGACGGTGTTTTATTGTTAACCACTGATTTGTTCAATGCTTGAATTAAAGACCAAACAGCATCAAATGTATACATTGCTTCTAGACTGATAGAAGATACAAGTTTCGGAAGATTCTTTTCATCATGCGACAAATTAAACCAAATATCGAAAGCCTCTTTTTGTAAAGTTCCATTCACACCACATGTCCTATTATTACCTATGAAAGGCACTACAGTAAGAATACCAGTTAAATTGAGCCACTCATTTTGTTCGAATGTATTGAAATCAATCTGAAGATAGCAGCAGTGTTACAATAGAAATTAAAATGAATTAATGAAGCTATAATGATCATAAGATACAAAATAAGTCGTTAGTGTCATCAGAAATACATATTTGTCGATAGGTTTTTCTTTTTATGATGGTTTAATTTCTCACAGAACATGGATGAAACTTTGAAAACTAAAATATCTTTTCATTTACCTTATTTGTGGTTATCCATACATAGTTTTCACCGAGAAGGCGTGCATGAAGAGCATGTTGAATAATTCTTGCAGCTGAANACCAAGTTTTTATTTATCCGAACTACCTTCCATATTATTGTGCAAAACTGTCACCTTGGATCAAAATACAAAAATTTGGCTCTCTTGGTAAGAAGCGAGTAATTCAAGAATCGACTGAGGTTTTTTCTTTGATATTTTCGTATGGTTAGATAGAGCTTGTCGAGTTCTACAAGAATATGTATATTGAAATTTTTTTAAACCTTTTCTTTGAAGCAAAATGTACAGAAAACTACTACAGGAAGTCGAAATAATTAAAGAAAAAAAACGTTCCATAATGCTTTTCTGGAAATAAAAAGAGAGCAAAATTTTTGTATCTTGATCCAAGGTAATAGTTTTGCACAATAATATGGAAGATCGTTCGGAGAAATAAAAACTTGGTATATTCACCTATAATTTTAAAAAAATTATTAATAAAGTTAAATGAAATAGTAAGGATACACGAAAAAACTTTTGGTCAATGATTTTCAGGACACCCTGTATATACTTAGGGCAATCCAAAAGTAGTGTCGTCAAGGTTTTATTTCCTTATAGTAAGTAAAAAAAATTTTCCTTTTTTTATGAATAGATAGAGCGTCTTTCACCGGGTATATTCTGTTTTTTTAATAAAATATCTTTAGGAATTAAACTCTGAATAATAAAGTTCTGCCATCTATTATAGGTCTTTTTACTACTTAATGCCACCAGCCAGCTTCCAACAAAAATAGTTCTTACCAAGATTGTTTTATTCTAATATTGAGTAAAGATCGATCAAATAGCATAGAAAGATAGAGTGAAAGACGCTCTATCTATTCATAAAAAAGGAAAGTTTTTTTAACTTACTATAAGCAAATAAAACCGTGACGACACTACTTTTGGATTGCCCTAAGTATATATATATACATATATATATATACATATATATATACATATATATATATATACATATATATATACATATATATACATATATATATATATACATATATATATACATATATATATATATACATATACAGTAAAACCTCTCCTAATGAACACCTCTATATAATGAACACCTCTTGTTTGAACACATGTTTCAGTCCCCCCGATCAATTTTTGCTGTAGATTGACCTCTATATAATGAACACCTCCCAACTCTGAACAATGAACACTTTTTTTGGTCCCAATGTTGAGAAAAACCTCTATATAATGAACACATGTTCAATAAAGTATCCACCTGTGAATGAAAGAATTGAAGATAAAAGAGTGTATCGTACATTCTGAAGTAGTGACAGCAAAACTCATTGACGGTCTATTCATTACAAGAAAATTCGTCGCATGTATGGAAAAAGAACAAAGATAATCAATAGTTCAGATTAAATTGATCCATCGCATGTATAGAACAAAAAGAACAATGAAAATGAATAGTCAATAACGAATTGATCGGCTGTGTCTACAAGAATAACGCACTTTTTCTATCTACAATTGTGAAATGGCAACAAAGCACACATTAACACTTTCTGAAAAAATAGAGCTAATTCGTAAACATGAAGCAAACGTTTCGTACCGTACGTTGGCTGACCACTACAAGATCTCGATCGGCAGTATTTCAAACGTTATCAAGCGCAAAGTCGAGTACATGGAAAATTACGAACAAAATGAAAACTCAAACAAGAAGCGTAATTTACGTGATGAATTCAATCAACAACTAGATCAAAAAGTGTATGAATGGTTCGTCGCACAACGTAGTAAAACCATTCCCATCTCTGGTCCTCTTTTACAAGAACGAGCACGACAAATTCGTCAAGAACTAGGTGGTCCAAATGCTGACGACTTCAAAGCAAGTAATGGTTGGTTGGAAAAGTTTCGCAAACGTCATGGTATACAATATCGAACTATCTGTGGTGAATCTGCAGCGGTTGACCTTACAACTGTTGACGAATGGAAAAAGCGCTTATCAACAATCATCGATAAATACGATCCTAATGACATTTATAATGCCGACGAAACTGGTCTGTTTTTTAAAGCACTACCAAATCGTTCACTCGTCACGGCCAAAGATACTTGCAAAGGTGGGAAAAGATCAAAAGAGCGCTTTACTGTTCTTCTTTGTACCAATATGACAGGCACAGACAAATTAAAACCATTTCTTATCGGTAGTTTCTGCATTTTCTTTTCAGTCTTTTCTATTCATTTGTATTAATGTTTTCGTTCTAGGTAAAGCAGCTAATCCACGATGCTTCAAACATTTAAATGTTAAAGAATTACCTGTTACATGGCGATCAAATCGTAACAGTTGGATGACTGCCAGCCTGTTCGAGGAGTGGCTCGTTAACGTGAACAAAACAATGATCAAGCAAAAGCGCAATATCTTGTTGTTTATTGACCATGCACCATGTCATAATCCTGATATTGAATATTCCAACATATGTGTCAAATTCTTTCCTCCTAACACAACGTCGAAGCTACAACCACTTGACCAAGGTATAATCAAGAATTTCAAGTGTCATTATCGTGAGTATTCTCATTTTCTACATTTCACTAAATATAACTATGAATTCGCTTAGGTCAACATCTTGTGAAACACGTAATATCGCGTTGCATCGTCGCCACCTCATCAGATGACATTATCATCACAGCACTTGACGCTGTAACTTGGACAAAAAGTGCTTGGGAAGCTGTCACTCAATCGACGATCCGCAACACATTTCAGGTGGCAGGCTTCGTTGATTCAAATGCTCAATATACTACTAGTACTACGTTCGATAATGATAGTGATTCAGACGAAGAAATTATTACTGATGATATTACAACAGCATTAAAAGATCTCGATAAGCTTCTTACTCATATTCATATTGATGGACAAAGTCTTTCAGCAAAGGAATTCGTCGAAATGGACTTAGATATACCAGCTTTCAATGAGTGGGACGACTTCGACAATAATGTGACCATCGTCGATGAAGAATATGGCAACAAAAATCAAAACAATAACGACGAGGACGATGATATACCGACTGAAGCACCACCAAAGTTCATTGACGCAATGGAAATGGTCAGACGGTTACATATCCTGGCTTCTACTCAACACCCAGAATTACACTCACTTGTTTCTCAATTGGATTCACAACTTACTCAACTCTTTATTGACTCTAAAGGAGCCAAACAAGCCAAGATCGATGATTATTTTCGTAAAAATTAAATTAAAATGTTTAATAAATGGAAGAAATATTTTTTTTGTAATTTTGTTTCATAAAACTTGAATAAATATGTGTAATAAATGAAAGAAATATCTTTTTATTCTATGCACTGCGTAATTAGAGGAAATTCTAATAAGAAAGGTGTGTACGCATCAATCTGTGACACTCACTATGCACTGTATACATGTATGTGTTCACTTGATGAGACACCTCTATATAATGAACACCTCCTATAATGAACGTGCTTTGAACGGTCCCGTTGGTGTTCATCTTAGGGAGGTTTTACTGTATTAAGCGCATTCTATAGATACAATATACAATTAGATGCATCATAACTCCTTTAGAGCTACTTAAGACTACCCATATTTCTATATCCTTACATCTATGCTACGACCATAAAGTCTTATATCTATATCTATACTTCCATACCGTTTATATCTGTTCTTATCCCTACGCCCCTATGTCCAAACTCTTATATCTATACGCTTACCTATATTGTCTTATATATGTAGTCATATAACTCTAAATCCTCACTCTTACAGCCTTATACCTTATGCCGCCTCGAAACCTCAATACTATATTCTTACCCGTACATCGCTATACCTATCGTCTTATCTCTATGTCATAACGCCTAGGCACTTATCATTGTACCTCTATATGTGTATGCTTGACTGTATACTTTTATACTCACATTCTTATGTCTTTTGCTTAGATTTACATTTTGATACTAATATTTTTACGTATGTGCCGCTGTACTTTCACTTTTACAGCTATTCTCGATTGGATAAATCTTCTATAAGTTCATCTTTTTTTTATAAATAATAACCTAAATGTTTTCAACTGAAACTTAATATTTCTGCTAAACAAATGTATATGCTTCTTTTCTCGATGAGCGTCATGTATCAATTAATTTAGAAAACAGTAAAAAATGACTGATACGTACCAAGAGAATGACTTAACTGGTAATAAAAAATACGCATTTTTGTTAAAATTTATGTAAAAAAAAACTCAACATTTTTTGTTTAGAGTGTGGGGTGTGGGGTGTGGGTGTTAATGTGGGTGAAGATATGATTCCCATCCACACTCATTCGTATTGGAAATAAAATAATATGACAGGGGGATTTTGTCTTCTTTCAATTGACTATTTGACAAACATAGTAATCGAAAATAAGAAGCCACTGAAAAGATTTTTTAATGTATCGACCAATTAGCATGTTTAGTTGTTCCCTTGAAATAAAACTGTTCCTACATACTCGACTCTCTATGGTAGCTAACATTATTTCTTTCTTCTTCGAACAGCATAAGAGAATCCATGAAAAAATAGTGAAGCATTAAGATTGCAAACATAATTATATGGCAGTCCCCTTTTCTTTTTCTTTCAATCGACTATTCGAGAAACATACGAAACAAAAAATAAGAAGCCACTAAAAACAATTTCTAAATTACTGATCACTGAGCATGTTTAGCTGGTCTCTCACAATAATTTTCTTGTTAGGCATTTTGAACTCTTCGAGGAACTGGAATATTAATTATTTCAAGTGACCTCTTTCGTTGCTTGTACAGCACATATCAACTCATATTTGCTTCCTTATTCATGCTTCGGCATTCTTTCATAGTAGTAACACAATGTTGCTTCGACACAATATAATCAGGCGAAACTGATTGAATATGTGTAAGGAACCAGGTATAGATATAGCGATCATTGAAGTTACTGTGAGCAATTTCGGTATGTTTATCGTTAATTTTGCTTTATTGCCAGACTCCTGCATAGGAAGCGCTGCAAAAATGGTACAAAATGTCTATCACGTTCAACTATTCATAAAAATTTATTCAATAAGTCCTATCAAACGATCAAAGAAATTCTTCGATTATGAAATCCATTTTGTACAANTTCCGTTCTTAATGTTGAATCTTCTCTCTTCTTCCCTTCTCTGTCTTCTTCCTTTTCCTCCTGCAACTCCTCTAACATGTCCCCACTCCAGACTTCGCTTGAAAGGCTTAAAAGTTGGAATTTTTCTATCTGTCTTCAGGAAAAAATGTCATCAATACTTAAAGAATGGTTCTCCAACTCCACATTAAATAAAGTACTATCTGATTGGGAACAACGTTCCTGCCCAATAACTAGTCAGTTCACTCCTCTGAATATACTTACGTATAATGTCCAAGGCTGTGGCACTCGTGCACTTGAAGTTATGGACTTGATTTTTAAAGTGGATAGTTTTATATGTGTTTTTACGGAAGTTGGTGAGTTATGGAATAGTTTTAAAATCCCACATTTCTCATCCTTCTATCAAAAGGGTACAAATCATAGTGGTGGAGTTATGATAATGATTGGCAAACACCTCAAGACTACTAGAATAGAGGTAGACATAGATAATACAGTGATAGTTGATGTTGTTGGTCTCACTCAACAAGTTTGAATAATAGGAATATATTGGCCGCCTGGTCAAGTTCGGAATCTAAATGATTTACGTCCCTTCCTGACTAAAGGAACTATTCTCACTGGAGATTTCAATGCCACAACCGAATAATGGGGTAGCCAATCATCAGATAGACGTGGCATTCTCTTGAAAAAATGGATAGAGGAGAACGATCTCGTATATGTACCAACCTCTTCACATTCATCGAAAAGGTCTCATAGACACTTAGACCTAACTTTTGCCAACTTGAGCAGAATTCACAATGAAACCTTATTATATGGTACTAGTGATCATTGGCCGACAGTTTTAACTTCAGAGAGTGTAGGGTTTATAACTAACGGCTTCTTCCCGCATACGGATTGGTCAGTTTTCCAGATTATCTTAGTGCTATTAGAAGACTTCTGGGTAAAGAAACAGAAAAATCAGTCTTGTGATCAATGGTATCAACAATATATTCGATTCCTCGCAGCTTTAAAATGTAGAGTAACAAAATGGAAAGAGAAGAAAAGTATCGTCCTTCCCTTCCTCCGTCAATCGTAGCACAACTAAGAGAAGTTCGCCGGATACGTAATTTATACTATAGGTATAGGAAATTCACAGGAGTAGGCAATGAAGATCTTAGAATCTTACTGAGAACACTGACAAGAGATACTAGAAATGAGATTTTTAAATACAAGAAGGCCAGATGGGCTGATTTTCTATCGTCCACCCAACAGAGTTCTGATAAACAAGACAAAGTATTTTGGTCACATCTCTCTAAAATATATAAAGTGAAAACACTACCCGTCTCTAAACTTACGATAGATACCAAGGTTACTTCTGACGTGCAGGAAATTACAGATGAGCTCTTTAAATATTTCGAGAATCTATCTAAAGCTCCTGCTGTAGATCCAACAAACTCACACGACATCCAGGTAGAAAAAGAATATCAGGAAATCCAGCACATATTAAATGTTTCAAAGGATACAGAATTGCAAGCAACATCAGCTAGTGAACTAACAAAAATCATTAAAATGATGAAAGGAAAAAAGTCATCGGGATATGATCAAATATCCAATCACATCATTAAGCTGCTTTCTCTAACCTACATTGAATGTCTAGTGAAATGTTTTAACACATGGCTAAAAGAGTGTAGATACCCGCATGTTTGGAAAATAGCTAAGATAATTACGCTTAATAAACTTAGAGCTGGTGTTCCTAAGTGTAATCAAATCAGACCTATTTCCCTACTGGCCACACACTAGGGGTGGTAAATTAGCATTAGTATTAAAATTAATCCTAATGCTTTAGCATTATTGGCATTAGAATTAATTAACGCTTTGGTGTTAGCATTAAATTAGCATTATTTTTAATTCTAATACATATAATCTATGTAACTTTTTGAGCACTATGTAGACAATAGACTTTCAACGTTTCAGGAGACTGTCTAGATATGTTATCTTTTACTTTTCGAGGACTATCTCGACGTTCTACATATAACTTTTTAGGAGCTATCTGAGTATCGTATTTGCAACTCTTTAGGAGCTACCTGGACACCGTATCTGCAACTTTTTTGGGACTATCTGGACGTAATACTTGTGTCTTCTTAGGTATTATCTGAACATCATATCTGCAGTTTTTTTGGAATTATCTGAATATGCTATTAATGATCTTCTTATTGATTGAGATTCTTTGAATAAATGATTGGTTCATTAGGACCATGAAAAAATTCTGATATATCGTCTAGAACATTTTATTACTTTTGTAGTGAGAAATGGGCAAATGGCATACCCAATTTATCTGCTTACTTCGGTTAACGTTTATGAGAAGGCAATCCACATTTAGTAAGGAAAATTTCAAGAGCGTTATCATAATATCTGAAACATTTATAAAAATTATTTCATTCATATTTTATTTTTGTCTCAAAAACGTTTGCAGACTTATTGGTAACATGTCTCTAAAGGAAATATTTTCACATTTTACAAATTATTTTTCGTTTTTAACTAGAAGAAATGCCGAGAATGTTAGAGAACAACAATAAAATTGCATTTTATACATGCTTTCTAAACTATCAACGAAAATATTTGTATACAGATGAACAGTTTTATGCAATATGATTTTTCATACAATGCCAGTTGAATTCTATATTCTTTGTTTGTGAGATATAAATGACAAGAGGATATGGTATTTAAGTAGCAGCGGAAAATCGTACGTTTTTTAACCAAACACTTTCTTTTTTCTCTATTTATAGTCAGTGAGATTGAATGAAATGTGTTATCTGGCTGTGTTAGAAATGTCGTAATCGTTAAATCGCTTTATGAATGGAAAAAGTTAGTAGACATCGTTGACTATGTAATTTATAGATTAAAGTGCATCGTATACATGAGGTTGATATCGCAAGGAGACGACCATTGTCACATGTTGACGGCGAAAAACAAACGATCACTTATTTTTTATTCGATATTGGTGCACATATCTCTCGATTCTGAGTAGAAAAGAAAAGAAAATACACACGTCTTTGTTAGCGAGAAGAATGTATAGAAAAAGAAAAGAAAAGAATTTAGTGCTTTATTATATTCAAATAATTTTCTTGATCTTCCATTCTTTATTTACATTAGTGGTTAGTACCTAGTACACATTTCGATTCTATTTTTCACTCAATATAGCTATTTGTTGAATCTTGATCTAATGTATAACACGAATATTGATAATTCACCGAATTCGGCTAACATGCCTCCTCGTGGTAGTAGTGATCGATCAAAATCGCAAACTAGAAAAACAAGATCATCAACATTGAATCGATCATTACATCGTACATTGAGAAGTCAATCTCCATCTTCATCGATTACCCGTCGGTCAAAAAATCGATCTTCCTCAGGTACGTAAAACATGCTCGACAATTTAAGATTTTGTTTTTTTGTACTTTTAAATTATTTTTAACTGTCTATGCAATTTTTATACCTCGCTAGAATATTTACCGATAATGATCGGAAAAAATAAACAAATACTTTCTTTGTAGATCGAGATTTTAGTAAGAACTGGAATAAAAAGAAACTAAAATGCTTTTGAACTTTGCAATTTTTTACACATAGAAAATGATTCTTTTTCGTTTTTTTTCTAACAATGAATGCGTATAGAAATGAAAAAAGGAGAGGATTTATTGATCTCTCATAATTTTTTCAAAACAATTCTTGTAAAAACTAACTGAAACCTTGTGGTAGTTTCAATATTTTCATTGCCAATTACTTATTAATATTCGTATTTTTTCTAAAATAATCGGTGAAAAATTTCTAGGCGATGCCTATATTTCTGTATATGTTAATTTACGAAGCAAGCAGTTTGTTTAAGCAAAATGTATTATAAATTAATAGAATAGTTCTCTTTGTTTAACTCTTCAATTTTTTAGGACGAAGTCATGATCAAAGAAACATTGTAGCTGATCCAAGTATTCACTCAACCAATATTTTATCATCATCGATTCATTCTGGAAAAAATGTTCAAGCTAGTTTAAATCTAGATCAAAATGATGACGATATAACAATGGAATTAAATAGTGTTGTTATTGATGTTAATTCTTATCAAAATCAAAATTTTCCAGCCACCACCAATTCTTTTCAAGCAATTCATCCATTTGAACTTGACAAAGCACTTCCACCGAAAAAGACAACAACTTTTTCAGGTAAAAAGACGGCTGAAGAAGTGTGGAGATTCTTTGAAATGCAACATGATGGCACGTACAAATGTTTATTATGTTTAGATACACACAAGGTAATTTTTTGTTTTCGCCCAGAGTTATTTTTTATTTAAAAGACTTCTTATATGTTTATGTATTATATATAAATTTTTATGAGGACGCTACTTGTCGAATAATAATGTTTCTTTGAGAAAAGCAACGTTTAAAAATTTTGAAATGACGCGTATAAGTTATATGGTCATAGTAATGTTAAGAAATTATAATGTTACTATTATTGTTTTTCATAAAGCAGAATGAAATATATCTAGATATCAAAAGTTGATCGCTTTCTGTTGATTCATTTTAGGTAATACAACAAAACAATCGAGGTACAGCAAATTTAAGATCACATCTTCTTTTTCATGGTATGAAGGACTATGCATTCAAATCACAAGAAGATCAACGAAATCCACAGAAGAACAACACTCCTATTATTTCATTAAGTCATCAACGAAAACGTGAAATTGATGAAGCTTTATTACAATGTATTATTGAAGCTGGTCTACCTTATAGTATGTTCAATCATGGTTCCGTGAATAAATTTCTTAAAGTTCTAATACAGTAAAACCTCCCATAGTGAACACCTCTATATAGTGAACACCTCTCGTCTGAACGGATAATCTGAACCGCCCGATCGATTTTTGCTGTAAATAGACCTCTGTATAGTGAACACCTCCCAACTCTGAACAGTGAACACTTTGTTTTGGTCCCAATAGTAAAAAAACCTCTATATAGTGAACATATGTACAAGAAAATATGCGCTTGAGAAGATAAAAATCGAGGACAAATATTGTACATTTCGAAGCAATGACCGCTAACTTTATTGACGGTCTACTTATTATAAAAAAAATGGTCGCATGCATAAAATAAAAGACGAATGATAGTCAAAAGTTCATCTCTAATTGATATGTCGCATGTATTGAACAAAAAGAACAATAAGAATGAATAGGCAATAACGAATTGGTCCTCTGTGTCTGTAAGAATATCACTCCTTTCTATTCACACTTGTAAGATGGCAGCAAGACGCGATTTAACACTTGCTGAAAAAGTAGAGTTGATTCGTAAAAACGAACAAAATGTACCGTACCGTAAATTGGCTGGTGAGTACAAAATCTCGATCGGAAGTGTTTCAAATATTGTTAAGCGCAAAGTTGAGTACATTGAGAATTATGAACAAAATGAAAACTCAAACAAGAAGCGTAATCTACGTGATGAATTCAGTCAACAACTAGATCAGAAAGTATATGAATGGTTTGTACAACAACGCAGTAAGAATATTCCTATCTCGGGTCCTCTTTTGCAAGAGCAAGCAAGACAAATTCGTCAACAACTAGGTGGTTCAAATGCTGACGATTTCAAAGCAAGCAATGGTTGGCTAGAAAAGTTTCGCAAACGTCATGGTATACAATATCGAACTATCAATGGTGAATCAGCATCAGTCGATCCTGCAACTGTTGACGAGTGGAAAAAGCGCCTGGTGGTAATGATTGACAAATATAATCCCAATGATATTTATAATGCAGACGAAACTGGATTATTCTTCAAAGCACTACCAAATCGTTCGCTTGTTACGGCCAAAGATTCTTGCAAAGGCGGGAAACGGTCCAAAGAACGTTTTACAGTTTTGCTGTGTACCAATATGACAGGTACAGACAAATTAAAACCGCTTATGATCGGTCAGTTCTGCATTTTCTGTTTAGTCTTTCCTTATAATAAATGTTAATGTTTCCGTTTTAGGTAAATCTGCTAATCCACGATGCTTCAAGAATTTAAATGTGAAAAACTTACCTATTAACCTGGCGATCAAATCGTAGCAGCTGGATGATAGCCAGCCTCTTTGAAGACTGGCTGATTACCGTGAACAAAAGTATGATTAAACAAAAGCGTAAAATTTTATTGTTTATGGACCATGCACCATGTCATAATCCCGACGTTGAATATTCCAACATATGTGTTAAATTCTTTCCTCCAAACACAACATCGAAGCTGCAACCACTTGACCAAGGTATAATCAAGAATTTCAAGTGTTATTATCGTAAGTATTCTGTTTTTCGACATTTTGAAAAATATAACTGACTTCATTTAGGTCAACATCTTGTGAAGCATGTAATATCACGTTGTGCCCTTGCTACATCACCAGATGACATTATTATTACTGCTCTTGATGCCGTAACTTGGACAAAAAATGCTTGGGAAAGTGTCACTCAATTAACAATCCGCAACACATTTCGTATGGCAGGCTTCGTTCATCCAAATACTCAAGATACTATTAGTGGTACAATCGACAATGAAAATGATACAAATGAAGAAACTATTATTGATGATATTACAACAGCATTAAAAGATCTTGATACTCTTCTTGCTCATATTCATATTGATGGACAAAGTCTTTCAGCAAGTGAATTCGTCGAAATGGACTTAGATACACCAACTTTCAATGAATGGAATGAATCTGACAATGATGTAATCATTGTCGATGAAGAATATGTCAATAAAAAACATAATAATAATGATCAGGATGATGATATACTAACTGAAGCACCACCAAAACTCATCGATGCAATGGAAATGGCTAAAAAGTTACACCTTCTGGCTTCTACTCAATATCCAGAATTACATTCACTTATTTCTCAATTAGATTCGCAACTGACTCAACTCTTTATCGATTCCAAAGGTGCGAAACAAACTAAGATTGATGATTTCTTTTGTAAAAATTAAATAAAAATGTATAATCTATAAAAGAAATATTTTTTTTGTTATTTTGTTTTATAAAATTTGAAATAAATATATGTCATAAATTGAAGAAATGATTTTTTTATTCTATGCACTAAGTAATCCGAGGAAATTCTAACAAAAAACGTGCGTACTCATCAACATGTAACACTCATCATACACAGTATACATGTAATAGTTTATTCATTATGACACCTCTATATAGTGAACACCTCCTATAGTGAACATGTTTTAACCAGTCCCATTAGTGTTCACTTTAGGGAGGTTTTACTGTATATATATCCATGTCTGTATTGATTGTACTCTGTTTTTCGGAAGGAGGACTTATAATGGAAGGTCGCCAAGTTGTAGTTAAGGAGATTGGCCATATTTGGGTTAAATGAAAGCTCTCATCATGAAACTAGCAAATTTAAAGTATTAAGTCCCCATAACATACCTAGAGCAAGTTACTTAAATTGCAATGTATGTGAAATTTAGGCATAAAATGAATCAGGAAAGGCTTTCTCCACTATTGTAAGGACAAAACATAGTTTTGTTCGGGTCATATGAAAGAGGGCTCTTCCAAATCCCTAATCGGCCCGAGCAACACTATGCTTTGTCCTTACAATAGTGGAGGAAGCCTTTTCTGATTTATTCTATGCCTAAATTTCACATACATTGAAAGGCAAGTAACTTGCTCTAGGTATGCTATGGGGACGTAATATTTTAAATTTTTTAGTTTGGCGGTGAGAGCTTCCACTTGACCCGAATATGGTCAATCTCCTTAACTACTAGTTGGCGACCTTCCATTGTTAGGGCATAGCTGATACTTAGCTCTATTCATATCGATATATATATATATGCATGTGTATCTACCCTCTGGTTTTTTGGAATAAATCATCTATACAAGGTGTTGGAAAAGCAAAGTTAAAGCAGGATTCCATATATCTGTATATAGTTCGGTAGAGCATGACGAGTTGATCAAGAATCTATGTTTCTTTTCTACAATTAGCTTCTTGGGAAGGATTTCATTTTTCGTTGAATGACTTACAGATTATTGAAAAAAGTATAATTATCGCTAATTTAGAAGTTATCAATTGTTTTTTCTGTCTCTTGAATTTCAAAACTGCTCGTTTCAGATTTAGTATCAAAACGGAACCTAGGGGTGAGAAAGTTATTGTTATTGTTATTAATAACAATAACGTTAACTTTTTGATTCAAAACAATCAATGAAGCAAATCTAAGCATAGTCTGTATGAGCGTCAAAAGATCACTTTAGTAATACAGTATCTTTTCTTACCATTTGATATAAGAACTGCACTCTAACTTCAAATGTGTTGCATTTATGTGTCGTGCATCCCTGCATAAAAATGTGTCACGCTTAGAATGTATCATATACAATTTTGTCGCGTTCTGTTTGTTCACTATTCATTCACCGTTTTTGTTATGTATGCACAGCCATATATAAGCAGCACGGTTGAACATAAGGAAGATAAATTTTTTCACAATAATGTTTTTCTAGATTATTTCTCGACATTGTATTGGTCGAGAAAATGCCAATCTCGATCAATATTCGAGAGAGAACTACCCTGAACCGGTCTGACGGAGATCGGGTCAACTCGAGTCTGGTCAGATCTCAAGATCTTACCTGCTTGAGTTTTCAAAATAGGAATAATTATAATGGAATTAAATTTAAAAAAATTCATAATATGCTTTTTCACAAGAATCAATAAAAAATGTGTTGCATGTGTCGTACGAATTGTGTCGTGCTCTTTCTGGACAAAATGTGTCGCAAGGAGCACCTCGTGCCGTGCTTTAATGTGTCGTGCATTGTGTCGTAAATCACGACACATTTTAACTTAGTGTGTGGCGGTAAATATTTTGAGAAATACTAACATAATATATTTTGTTATTGTTATTTAACAATAACGATAACAAAATATGTTATTTTGAAATTTCTCTAAATATTTACCAGAAGTTCTTATATCAAATGGTAAGAAAAGACACTGTATTACTAAAGTGATCCTTTGATGTTCGTACAAACTACGCTTAGAATTGTTTCATTGATTGTTTTGAATCAAAACGTTAATGTTATTGTTTTTAATCACAATAACAATAACAATAACTTTCTCACCCCTAACAGAACCTAGAACAGTGTTTTGAAAATGGCTTTCATAGATTCAGTTTTTCCCACTAAATCTGAAATAAACATTTTTGAAATTCAATTGGAAGAAAAACAACTGACAATTTTCCAGTTATCAATAATTGCTCTTTTTCACTACAAGTAGATCATCAGCAAAGGCCGACATTTTTTCCTAAAAACTAATACCAACAAAAAGAGCCATACATATTCTTGATCAGCTCATCACGTTATACCTAACCATATGCATATGTATGAAATTGCGTTTTAATTTTGCTTTTCTGGCGCCTGATATATATAAACAAATAAATCTCATAACTCCTTTACAGTTCAACTTTCTTTTCCCTCTCCTCACCCCCGAAAACAAAACTGAAAAAAAGAGCTTCTATATGTGTACATATGCGTGAAAAATTCTGAAGCTCTCTCTCCCGACTTTTTCATTCCTATTTGAATCTGGCAGCTTCGTCTCTCTAAATTCAAATTGATCTAAACTGGCCAGCTGTACGAGGTACTTTCACTGCTGAGAACCTGTCATATCGATTTTCCTGTACTCAAGCTCTCAAATAGTATGCAAACGCCGACGCAGTGTAAAAGAACATCGAGAAAATTATATACTACGCTCTTACAAGTATTCACACCGAAGGCATCGTCGCAAGCAGATTCTTCGCCAAATACTAATTCAATAGGAAGCATATCATCGAAAAATTATCGAGCACTTTTTTTTTCGTGCAGCGTATTATTTAATTTTCCGCCAGATCAAACATTTTCAAATGGCTAAAGAATAGAACAGTGAACAATTTTATCTCTAAGATTCAAGTCACGAACCAGATTCACAATACTGACTAAAGACCCTTTGCTAGATGACTGGCTCAGTAATGCCTGATCTCTACTATTTATTTTGTAAAAAAATAATCTCGAAACATTTTCGTCGGCAGAGAAAAACTACCATCCTGGGAAAACGATACTATACATTGTCAATAGCGCCACTTTACGAAAGAAAAACCTGCTCTCTACTGATTACTGAAAAGACTTTCCAAAGAAACTACTGTCCTGTCAATACATACATTTGCGCGTTGCAAACAAACAGAATCTTGAAGCTCACGACAACGATACCACTATTGTGTCGATGCTGTATTGTGCTTCAAACAAAAGAGTAATTTTATTTATATATACTTGAAAAATACGTTTTGCTGCACGCAGTTAACCGTATCGCGAAAAGGATGAGAATAATTTCAACACATACCTTGCCTTTTTCAGTTTAGAACTTTGCTTTTCTTTTGCTTGTTCTCTCATTCATTCTACGTACAGGTAAATGATAGCCATACAAAGATAAGCAAATGTTCATCACAAGGTAAGCGAAATACGGATTAGCTTATTCTCGTAACCTATGTTATTTTTCTTAGCTGAAAAATTTTCTTTTGTTTTGCTTGTTCTCATATTCATCCTACGAACAGGTAAATGACAGCCAAACAAACATAAAACACGTATCCATCACAAAATGTACACAATAATCATGAGGATATTGTCAAAAAAACCTTGGTGTTTTCAGTTGAAAATTTTATTTTTGTTTTGCTTGTTCTCTCATCCATCCTACGTACAAATAACTGATAGTCATACAAACACAAAACAAATATCCATCACAAAATGTACACAATAATCATGAAGATATTGTCAAAAAAACCTTGATGTTTTCAGTTGAAAATTTTATTTTTGTTTTGCTTGTTCTCTCACCCATCCTACGTACAAGTAAATGATAGCTATTCAAAGATAAAACAATATCCATTGCAATACACGCAATATAAGCATGAGGATAATTTCAACGCATATCTTATCTTTGCCAGTTCAGAATTTTGCTTTTCTTTCGCTTCTTCTCTCATTCATTGTACATACCAGTAAATGATAGTCATACAAAGACAAAACAAGTGTTCATCGAAAGGTAGGCGAAATACAGGCCAGCTTATGCTTACAACTTACGTTCTTTTTCTTTTGACTGGAAATTTTGTTTTTGTTTTGCTTGTCCTGCCATTCCTCCTACGCACGGGTAAATGATAACCATACAAAGATAAAACAGATATCCATCGCAATATGCAAAAAATACTCATGAGGATACTGTGAAAACAAACGGTGTCTTTTGTGGGTGGAAATTTTATTTTTGTTTTGCTTATCCTAGGATTTCTCCTACGTACAGGTAAATGATAGCCATACAAAGATAAAACAGATATCCATCGCAATATGCAAAAAATACTCATGAGGATACTGTGAAAACAAACGGTGTCTTTTGTGGGTGGAAATTTTATTTTTGTTTTGCTTATCCTAGGATNACCACCATCAGTATATTTTTTCACAATAAAGATCCGATTGTCAAACATACGTACATTGGCAAGACGGAAAGCAATGCATACGACATATGCCTGAGTATGGTACATTCAAATTCTCATTTGATCAATTGATTAATTAACAACATTACAGTGCTGAAAGTAATAATGGCAATAACATGACCGATTTCAGAAAAACAAGATCATGCAAGAAAGTGGAACAGAGTTGATAAGAGTATTGCCTTCTCTTCCGTCTCATAACACGATAAGGATATTCTTCATCATATCAATTTGACAGAATTTCGTGTTGTTTGGTAAGACAATCATCGTTATCACCTGCTTATTACCGCCTGCCGGGGATGTCACTAGACATCCACAGGGTTTGACCTCTGCTCTCGGAAAGAGGATGGCGCCCCTGGGCTACCGGTAGCCAATGTGTCTCTTCTCTAGGTTAGCCACCTATTTAAGGGACGATTAAACTCGCTGGCTAATGAACAGGATCAAAATCAGTGCATAAATGCACGTAAAACAACGTTTTTCGGAGGATGGAACGTTCGATCATGTTTTCGTCGATCAAAAAAAGAGCTGATAGTCAAACAGCTTAAGAAACACCGAGTGCAAGTAGCTGCACTTAGTGAAACAGCAATGTACGATTATGGTACAACAACCATTGGTGAGTACACTTTTATTTTTTCAGGACATGCAAGTACAGACAAAACTCGTTCAGCACATGGAGTCGCCATATGCCTCAACAAACAAGCGACCACGGCGTGGAAGAATCTCGGATCAATCTGGGAAGCCATAAATGAACGCATTGTGATGGTCCGGTTAGCATGCAACCCAATAAATGTCACTGTGATTGCAGTATACGCTCCTATCAATCCAAGTGTAGACACCTCAAAAACAGATTCCTTTTACAATGATTTGCAAAATACCTTGGACAAAGCACCAAACAGCGACATGACTCTTATAATCGGAGATTTCAACGCACGCGTAGGTATACAACAACACATAACAAGCAGAAATGTAATCGGTCCGCATGCTGTAGATGAGATAAACTACAACGGTGAACGTTTAATCGACTTTTGCTCCATCAATAATCTCATCGTATCGAACACCTTCTTCAAGCACAAGCCCATTCATCAAAAAAGCTGGATGCACCCGGGCCAAAAGACTTGGCATATGCTGGACTACAATCTCGTCAATAAACAATTTCGATCAAGTGTTGAAGACGTACGAGTTCATCGTACAGCAGCAGGCGCAATTGGTACAGATCATCACCTGCTTCGAATCAAGCTAAAATTTCACCTAAAAAGCAGAAGAAAAACAATCAAAAGTCAAATACTACGTCTAGATCCAAAGAAGCTCAAGAATGAACAATGCAAGTTGGCCTTTCAAGTACAACTACATTGCCGCCCGCAACTGCAACAACAACAAACATCTTCGTCAACAACAATCGATGACAAATACAACGCTTTTGTCGATTATGTACATCAAGCAAGTAAAACAACTTTCGAACTAGATAGAACCAACAAAAAGCAGAAAGATTGGTTAACTGATGAAATTCTGGATGTTGTGGACAAAAAATCAAAAGCATTTCTTAAATGGCAGAATTCTCGTGGAACATATTTAGAAACAAGATGCCGTAATAGCTATCGTCGACTTCGCAATTTAACCAAGAAGAAAATTGATGCAAGGCAGCTTGAGTATTGGGATGAAATCAGTTTGGAAATTGAAAATGCAATCAAGCAGCATGACCCATCAACTGCATACGCAATGATACGTCGTTTAAGAGGAGGTAAAGCAAAAACTGAAAATCTACCAATTTTAGATAAACATGGAGAACTTCTAACTAATTCAAAACAAAGTTTAACTCGCTGGAAAGAGTATTTCAATGATCTCCTGAATGTACCATCTCATGTAGATCCAATAACAATTCAACAAATCCATGCAGTTACAATAACTACAACGGAACAACGACGACAAGAGCAAACACCATCTCTGGAGGAAGTCCAACGCGCAATAAAACAAATGAAAAATGGAAAAGCGCCTGGCAATGACGGAATCTCTGCTGATCTTATAAAAGCTGGTGGTCTACCAATGGCAAAATGGTTGCATGAGATTTTTGTGGACATATGGGAAAATGAAACAATAATTGAAGATTGGTCAACAGCAATCCTGATTCGTCTCTATAAAAATAAAGGCGATAAGAAGGTATGTGATAACTATCGTGGTATATCTCTCCTCGTGGTGACAAGCAAAATCTTCTCCAGAATTATTCTTAATCGTGTTCAAGACCTGCTCGATAAACAACTACTGGAAGAACAAGCTGGCTTTAGATCCAATCGCTCGACAATCGACCAAATATTCATTCTCAAAATGGTCATGGAGAAGTCCTACAACATCAACAAACCTCTGTCTATGTGTTTCGTCGATATCATGAAGGCCTATGATTCGGTAGATCGTGATCTCCTTTGGCAAATTTGTCGGCACTATGGCCTCACTGACAAAATTGTGAGAATGCTCAAACTACTATACAAGGATCCAAAAGCGCAGGTACGTGTCAACGGAGAGCTATCTGATCATTTCAACATCAACTCAGGAGTTCAACAAGGTGGTATTCCTTCTTGCATTCTCTTTAATGTTTTATTCGACTTCATCATTAGACAAGTCATCGAGCAAGCCAAAATTCTCGGTATCAAAGGGATCAAATTAGCACATGGCAGCAACGATTTTTATCATCCAAACAACGATCCATATGATAATTTAGATATTCTTCTTTTAATATATGCTGACGATCTAGTGGTAATGTGCGAAAGCGGCACCGATCTGGAATTGTTTATTCAATGTTTTGAGCAAACCACCCAGAAACTTGGCTTGACAATGAGCGTGAAAAAGACATGTATCATGACGCTGAAACAATTGGAACAAGATCTATTAACAAACAAGGTCACCAAAAACAAAGAAATTCAAAATGCTCAATCGAAGATAACCATCCGAAATGAAATGATTGAAAACGTAAACGACTTTCGATATCTCGGGTGTTATTTTTCAAGAGATCAAACACTTGACAAGGAACTTGAAACTCGACTAGCCAAGGCTTCAACGGCTTTCAATATGCTACGTCATGTTATATGGTACAGAAAAAATGTTTCTATTCAAGCGAAACTAAGAATTTTTCGTGCGTGTGTTCTTCCTGTGCTGCTTTACGGCAGCGAGGTGTGGTCAACAACAACAACTCAAGAACAACGTCTCAACACTTTCTATTTCAAATGTCTTAGGACCATAATCGGAGTAAATCTAGGAGATCGTATGCCAAACGAACTACTTCTACAACTCACTGGACAACCACATCTACGCGACATTCTCATCAGAAACCGGCTTCGTTGGTTTGGCCACGTAAACAGGATGGAGGATGAAAACAAGAAATCGTCGATGGTCAAGAAAGTTATGTTCTCCTATTTTCCTCAATCAACTAAACCAAGAAATATGGGAACGCGGAAACGGTGGGAAGATAAAATCATGGAAGATCTTGAAAAATTCAACATACGTAATTGGCGACGAGAAACAATGGACAAAAACAAATGGAGGGAAACAATCAACAGATTCGCTTACTCAAAAGAGCCTTCTCCAAACATCACAGAAACAGTTAAAAAATACAAGCAGAAAGCAGATAAGCGACGAAATATAGGACCTCCTCCAAAGGTGACTGAAACTTTAACTAAGCATGGATACAGAAACACAGATGGTACATATACATGCCCAAACTCAAAGTGTACTCGAAGAACTTTCAAAGCACAAGGTATTACAAAACATGTGAAGGCCTGCGCAAAACAATGGTGCACACAAAACAAAATAGACAACTAATAATGGTATGCAAACAAGATGAAAAAGCTGAACTTCTTTACCAAGTATTTCATGATGGATATAACCCAAACCACACTCACAAAGTATGGAGGTCATATGCGGAAAACGGCACTTGGTTCTGGTGTTCTACGATGGTCAAACAAGAAATCACCCGAATGAACATTTTTCTTTTTCTTTTTCTTTCTCTTTTTCCCTTTTTCTTTTTGTGCGTTTCTTTTTATGTAATTTTTTTGATCTTCACCCTATACTAGCATGGTAAGGGTATAATAAACTAAACTATCTATATGGGAGACGTATCTCCATAGTAATATATATCAATAAAAGATTTTTGTATAATTGAGCACTTGATTCTCAATCTTTAACGCTATATTAAAAAAAAAATCTATACTTTCTCAAACATCTTCTTCTTGATACTGATATTTTAAGCATCAAGTGATACTAGCTGCGACTATGAGAAAATTAAAAAAAATTTTCTTGAACTTCACGATTAAATAGAGATAAGTTAAATCAAGACTGAACGAGAACATCTCTCATCTTCTAGTCAATCGCCCATTTTTGTGTACTCAAAAAGTGAGTACACTACTAAAATCTGTCTGTGTGTCCGTACGGCCGTCCGTCCGTCCGTATACACGATAACTTTCGAAAGGAGAGTCAGATTGAGATGAAATTTTTTACAAAGTTCAGTCTTGACAATATCTCGGTCGAATTCGAAGATGAGAAGGATCCGTCAAGAAATGACTGAGTTATCAAAAAACTTATGATTTTTGACCAGACGATCCCAGAGGAGGGATACGGGAATTTTTCAAAAAAACGTTTTCGCTCAAAAGTATTCACAAAATACATAAATCGACTCAGTTTTCAACGGTGATTCCGAATCTGATATTAGTTTTGGACTACATTATAGTTTTTTTGCACTCAAAAAGTAAGTACACTATAAAATAGTTAGTGTGCCCGTCCGTCCGGTCGGCTGTTTACATGATAACTTTTGACAGCAGAGTCAGATTAGGATGAAACTTTCTACACAGCTTTGTCTTAACAATATCTCGGTCAAATTCGAAGATGAGAAGGATCGGCCGAGCCCTTCTTGAGTTATTGCAAAATACCTCCTTGTCCCTATGGCTTCCTATGGGGAAATCGACCCATCGCTACTTTCGTAAAAGAATTTTCCTATCATAGTCAATTAAAACCCCAACTATTATATACCATTCGACAGACAATTTCAAGAGCTACAAAATCATATATAAAACATTAAGAAACAAGAAAGCTAATTCATCTGTTCGTAAGATAAATAAACGAAGATCGGTTCGGTTTTAGTGCACGCTCCAATCGATTCCCAATGGGAAGTCTAACTTTCTATCGCAGAGGTAATAATCGAAGGTTTTCTAGTATGGAGAACTGGAATTAGTACTCCACTGCCCTCGAAGGCCCACTGGTTGAGCATTGACTAATAGAAATCAAGTTATAGGAAAAACGACTCAGGCTAAGTTAGATCGTAAAGTAGAAATCTGAGGTGTATACGCTTAAAATCCTACTGGATGAGCAGTAGACAATACAATTGAAAGGTTTATACAAAAGGTTTACCAGGCAAATTTTTACATTCAGACATTCTAGGATGGCCGGATATGGTCATTCACTCTTTGAAGTACACATCATCTCGGATATAAATCCGAGATTTCCGCATTTATTTTTCTTACAATTCTTTCATGATTGAATATTAGTTGATGTTAGTTTTTGCCAGCATCCTTTTACGAGTAGTCTATTCCTAATATATCACAGCATATTGACACAGTGCACTGGGTGTGGCTGTGGCTGTGGCTGTGGCTGCGGCTGAGGATGTGGGTGTGTGCGGGTGTCAGTGTCGATACGAAAAAGAGATCCTCACAAAGACGCCTACACCCACAACCACACCCACGGCCACACACTCTCACCCTCACCCACAAACGCCCTCACCCACACACACCCACACCCACACCCACACCAACCCTCACCCTCCCGATGAATCTCCCAAGCGAAAAAATATGATTGGCTGATAGCCCACCCTCGAAAACCCCTGGTTGGCTCATTGGCCCAAGCGAAAAACTATGATTGGTGGATAGCCCACCCTCGAAAACCCCTGATTGGCTGATTGGTCCAAGCGAAAAAATATCATTGGTGGATACCCCACCCTCGAAAACCCCTGGTTGGCTGATTGGCCCAAGCCAAAAAATATGATTGGTCGATAGCCCATCCTCGAAAACCCCTGGTTGGCTGATTGGCACAAGCCAAAAAATATGATTGGTGGATAGCCCACCCTCGAAAACCCCTGGTTGGCTGATTGGCCCAAGCCAAAAAATATGATTGGTCGATAG